AACCAAGGAGGTGAAAGACCTGTACTCTGAAAACTATACTGATGAAAGAACATTGATGAAAAATAGCGTTGATGAAAGAAATTGAGGACAACACAAACAAATGGAAAGATATACCATGGTCATGGATAGGAAGAATTAATAGCATTAAAATGTCCATGTTATCCTAAGCAAACTACAGATTCAATGCAATCCCTATCAAAATGCCAATATCATTTTTCACAGAACTAAAATTTGTATGGAACCATAAAGGCCAGCCACTCAGTCCTGAGAAAGAAGTACAAAACTGAAGGTTATCTCAATCCCGGATTTCAAGATACACTACAAAACTATAATAATAAAAACTGTGTGGTAGGCGCACAGAAACAGACACAGAGGTCAAAAGAACAGAACACAACGACCAGAAATACTCATGGTTGTATGGTGAATTAACTTACAACAAATGAGGCAAGAATTTATAATGGGGAAAAGAGTCTCTTCAATAAATGATGTGGGGAAAACTGAACCCCTTGCTTACATCACACACACAAATTAACTGAAATGGATTAAAGACCTAACTGTGAAACCTGAATTGATAAAACTCCTAAAAGAAAACAGGCAGTAATCTCTTTGACATTAGCCTTAGCAACATTTTTCTAGATATGTCTCCTCAGGCAAGGGGAACAAAAGCAAAAATAATCAGGACTACACCGAAATACAAAGCATTTGCACAGCAAAGGAAACCATCAAAACAAAAAGGTAACCTATTGAAGATATTTACAAATGATATATCTGATAAGGGGTTAATATCCAAGATACATAAAGAACTTCTACAATTCCAACACCAAAAAAACCCAAACAACCTGATTTAAAAATGGGCAGAATATCTGACTAGCCATTTTTCCAAAGACATACAGATGGCCAACAGACACATGAAAAGATGCTCAGCATCACCAATCATTAGGGAAATGCAAATCAGAACCACAATGAGCTAGACATTGAGCTTTGCGCAGGTTAGAATAACTACTATCAGAAAGACAAGAAATAACAAGTGTTGGTGAGAATGGAGAAAAGGTAACCCTCATGTACTGCTGGTGGGAATGTAAACTGGTGCAGCCACTGTGGAAAATAGTATGGAGGTTCCCCCCAAAATTAAAAATAGAACTATCATACGATCCAGTAATTCCACTGCTGGATATTTATCCAAAGAAAACAAAGGCACTAATTTGAAAAGATACATGTACTCCTTTGTTTACTGCAGCATTATTTACAATAGCAAAGAAGCAACCCAAGTGTTCATTGACTGAGGGATGGATAAAGAAGATGAGGTGTGTGTATACACACACACACACACACACACACACAATAGAGTATTACTAGGCCATAAAAAAGAATGACACCTTGCCATTTCTGACAACATGGGCCATACCTAGGGGGAATTATGCTAAGTGAAATAAGACATGGATAACACAAATACCATATTACTTCACTTAAATGTGGAGTCTAAAAAACAAAACCAATGAACAAATAAACAAGCAGAAACAGATTCTTATATACAGAGAACTGGTAGTTGCCAGAGGGGAGGTGGGTGAGAGGATGGGTAAACAGGATGCAAAGGTATAAACTTTCAGTTACAAAATAAATACAATATGGAGATGAAAAAGTACAGCATAGGATACACAGTCAGTCATTCAAAAAATGTTTTTAGGGCAGCCCGGATAGCTCAGCAGTTTAGCACCACCTTCAGTCCAGGGCATGATCCCGGAGACCCAGGATCGAGTCCCATATCAGGCTCCCTTCATGGAGCCTGCTTCTCCCTCTGCCTGTGTCTCTGCCTCTCTCTCTCTCTAAAAAAAAAAAATAATAATAGTAAAAAAATAAAAATAAAAATAAATTATGATTTTATTTATTTTTTTAAAGAGAGCACAAATAAGCCAGGGGAGGCACAGAGGGATAGTGAGAGGGAGAGAGAATCTCAAGTAGACTCCACCCTGAGCAGAGAGCTTCACACAGGGCTTGATCTGAGATTATAACCTGAGCCAAAATCAAGAGTGGGTCCCTCAACCAAGTGAACCACCCAGCTGCCCTCAATCATTTAACAATGTTCTTGGTGACTATACTTATCTTGATGAGCACTGAGTAATATATAGAATTATCTAATCAATATGGTGTACACTTTAAGGTAGTATAATATTGTATGCCAAGTATGCATAAGTAAATAAGTACATAATAATAAATGTTAAAGAAAAAGTTTTATAGGGAATGAAATATATAGGTGTCCTTAGGTCCTCGTGATAATTAATGGAGAAAGGAGGGTCTCCTGACTGTAGCCCCATCCCAGACCAGCATAGACTATATCAGATCTCTCTTGGAGGGATCCCTGGGTGGTGCAGCGGTTTGGCGCCTGCCTTTGGCCCAGGGCGCGATCCTGGAGACCCAGGATCGAATCCCATGTCGGGCTCCCGGTGCATGGAGCCTGCTTCTCCCTCTGCCTGTGTCTCTGCCCACCCCCCCGTGACTATCATAAAAAAAAATTAAAAAAAAAAAGATCTCTCTTGGAGATCAGAAATTAAGAAATCTGGATGATTTTCTGTTTGAAAGCCCTCACCACTCCCTCAATAGCTTCATTTAATCCTCCAATAATTTTTTTGAGCACTACCCCTGTGGAAAGGAAGTGTGTGTGCAAGGCATGCCATGTTGTCCATATGATGTGCATATCACTAGCCATTGTACTTGTCATCCTGTGGTAGGGGGGCTGCTCTCACCTGAGTGGGGGCTGAACACTGAAAGCTCAAATGTCTAGCAGGACAGGGCTGGCTAAGTACAAAGCAGAATATTTATAGGATGACACAGTTATAGCAGCCAAGAGCAATGAGCAAGATCTCTGCTTCTCAACGTGGGTAGAGTTGAAAAGAAAGTGGTGTAAACACTAGGTTTCTGAATAACGAGTACAGCATATTGCACCATTTTTTTTTTTTTTTGCTGAGTACGTTTATATGTATACAAACCCACCGTATATACATCTAAAATGACAGTGCAGAGAGAGACCTCAGCTCGTATGTCTCTGTTTCGTCAAGGGCCAGTGAAGAGCTCGATGCTTAATAGGTGCTCAGTAAATGTGAGCCACACAGACGGCAGCACCAGGTGACCAGTAGGGCCTTGTCTTGGAGTAATGGATCTGGGCCTCTCCAGGGGCTTCAGTGAGATTCCTCCTACACTGACTCTCCCTCCCCCTCCCACCCGTCCCATCCCCAGCGGAGCCCTGACCGCACAGCTCCTGGCCTACCCACTCCCTCCCCACACCCAGACTCAGCCTGCTCTCTGTTCCCCTGTTCTCCTGGGGACTGGGCCATGAATGACTCAGCGGGCCAGTTCTCTATGCCAGGTTCTGAACGTCTGGGGCTCCCAGAACATTAGCACCTGCGGCCTCTCAGGGCTCAGCACTGCAAGCTGGTGCTCTTGTTTGCTCTCTAAGGGCACGACTGTGAACTAGGTTCCCCCACTGTGGCCTGCTTCCTACAGGCCGAGGGTGCCAGCAATGGGAATGAATGAATTATGCACTGTGGCAAATGGCTGGCCCAGAGTGTCAGGAACATCTGCACAGATGTTGTATAAGAATGGCAGGTGGAAACGTGTTGGAGGGCTGAAAAACAACTGAAAAGCTCACTGCAACGCCAGACACACCGACCTACCCGAAGGACTAACAGCCAGTTATTTCTTTCTCAACAGGCCTCCAGAAGTGTCCATGATCTATCCCAATCTTTCTAGGTTTCTGAGGTTTGCAGTCTCCAAAGTAGGGCTCTAGCCAGAGCAGTGTAAAGGGTCCAGAGCGAGATTGCCCGGGTCTGGACTGAGTATCTGGTGACTGTACAAGCAAAAACCTCTGCGTGCCTCGGTTTCCTCACTTGTGAAACAGTGAAAAGTGATAGAGTGGCACTTACAGAAATGCCTTGTGGATTCGAAGACAGAAGCCTTGTAAAGGCTGAGGGATGGTGAATGCACAGGCTCTTAATTGTGCTGGCTTTTACTGCAGGTGCTCCCACCTTCAATGGCCCTGCACCAGTTACTCTAAATCTCAATGGACTAATCTGCAAAATGGGGAGGACAATAATGTTCCGGATGAGATGAGAAGGTTAAACTGTTACAGTCTGTGGTTTGTGTCGTCGGGAGTTTGCGCAGACTCCTCCAAACAGGGATGCTCTAGGGCCAACCCGCCGGCCCGCCCCTCGGTGCACGGTGCGAGGACACCTCCAGCCTAAGGAGCCCAGGCCCCGGTACCCGACCCGAACCCCCAGAACCCTTTCTTCAAGAGAGGTGGCTGCGGGTTCATCTGGGTGACCGGGGAAGCCCGCGGAGGGCGAGGGGTCCCCACCGTCGGAGCGGGGCCCGCGTGCCCTTGGGGTCGGGGACGCCTCGGCCGCAGTCCTCGTTATTCCAGGAAAAAGAAACAAAATACTGCAAAGGAGGTTATCTCCCCGCCGGCTTCCGGCTCTGAGAACGCCCGGCCGCGCGGGGCCAGCGCGGGCACCTCGGAGCGCCCCGGGGCGCGGGCGGAGAATCTCCGCTCGGCCGGGTGCCCCCGCCGCCGTCCGCGCCGCAGGGAACGCGCCCACCCCTCGCCGGGGCCCGAGTGGGCGAGGGCCGGTGGCCGCCGCCCGCGACGCCGGGGACCCGCCCGCAGCTCCGTGCGCCCCCAGGGCTCCGCCGCCCGCTCCCCGCGCCCCGCCGCCCGCTCCCCGCGCCCCGCCGCCGCTCCCTGGCTCCCGGGGCCGAGCCTCACCCCCGAGCCTCCCGCCCCCTGCGGCCGCCCGAGCCCCGCCGCGCCCCGAGCCCCCCGGGCCCCCCGCCGCCCCCGGAGCTCCCCGGGCCCCCCACGCCCCCCGCCGCGCCCCGAGCCCCCCGGGCCCCCCGCCGCCCCCCGCCGCCCCCCGCCGCGCCCCCGAGCCCCCCGCCGCCCCCCGCCGCCCCCCGCCGCGCCCCGAGCCCCCCGGGCCCCCCGCCGCCCCCCGCCGCCCCGCGCTTACCTTGCAGAGCCCGCGCCGCCGCCAGGCAGAGGGCGAGGAGCCCCAGGGCCGAGCCGCAGGGCTGCCTAGTCCCGCGCGGCGGAGGCCTCATGGGCGATCCCTGGGCCGCTCGGGCCGCGCACGGGCTCCCAGGCTGCGGCGCCACAGCGCGGTGCGGCGCCCTCCCGCCTCGGCCCTCCCCGCGCAGGTCCTCGCGGCCAAATGCAGATGAGCCGTCCCGCGCCGGAGCCGGTTCCCAAGAAGCGGGAAGGAAGGAGGAGAGACAGGGAAGGGGAAGCGGCGGGAGTGCACACACTCAGAAGTAAATAATGGCAAATAATGAGCTGTCTGCTTCCGTTCACACCCAGTTTACTAGTATTGATTCCAGACTCGGCTGGTTGCTGGATGGCAGGAGGGAGGGGAAGGACCGGCTGTGGCTGCTGCCCGAGGACCAGTAGAGACCATCTGATGGCTCTGTGGGCAAGGAGAAGGCTTTTTGAAAGTGAAGTGACAAACTGGTGAGAAGGGTGACAAGGGAGTCCCAGGCTGCTCTGGGTGCAGCCATTGGACAGTAGTGATATCCGTCCACCATCCGTCATCTACCCATCCATCCATCCATCCATCCACGCATCTAGCTGCGTCATCAACCTTCCATCCATCCACCCATCCATCAACCTTCCATCCATCCACCCATCCATCCATCAGTCCATCCACCTCCATCCCCCACCCATCCATCCCCCTCTCTCTCCAAGTGTTCACTGACAGCCTCCTTGTTTGCACAAGGACTGGCACATAGTAGATACTCAGAGAGCATGGAGGAAATGTTTGAACCACGTAGTGTTTGGTTCAGGGACGGGCACATTGGGCCCTCCAAGTCTGTGCTTGGATTGCTAAAATCAGAGGATACAAACCTGGGAATACTGGAGGAGCATCTTGCCTGTCACGTGGAGAGGCCCTGAATTAAGAATGAAGCCAAGATGACACAAACTGAGCCACAGGGAACCACCAAGAGAGTTTGAGCCCTAATGACATGGTTTGAGCTCTGGGATTCTGTACACTTGCCTTTGCCACTAATGAGCAAGTAAATGATCTCTCTTGACTGGGAAAATTTAAGTTAGATTTCTATGACATAGGATTGAAAAAAATGTCTTGACTAATAAAAGTGATCTTGACACTTTTCTGTTTTCTTTATTCCACATATGGGGATTTAGAAATCATTTGTATTTGTTTCTCTGTCAAACTTTTATCAAATCTGCCTTTGTACTGGGTAGTGTGCTAGGCTCTGCAGCTCCAGAGATGAATATCATGGCTCCTAGTCCCAAGAAATTCACAATCTAAGTAGAGACCTGGAGACTGAATGATCCAAATTGGGAAAGATGTCCGGGTATGAGGACTCTTCCTCCTGAGGTCAAGACCCAAACTGGCTGTTTTGCTCACTGCTGCATACCTGGCACCTGGCACATGGTAGGTGCCTAATAACTATTTGTTAAATGAATATAGGAATGAGAAAAACTGAAGTCTGAGAAATTTGAGAGAGAAGGATTTCATGACATCAAGAGCTGTGAAAAGCCTAGAGTGACCCAGTAATGCTGCGAGTTTATCTCCTGACTCTGTCACCTACCAGTTCTCTGGCCATGGAGACATGACATCAACTCTCTGGACCTCTGATGGGACCAGACTGTGCCAGAAACGGGCAACCCTGTCTGCACATTAGAAATAAAGCATCATGGCTTGGGTGTCCCTCCGGTTCAATTGAATCAGATGTTCCAGGGGTGGGGCCTGCACATTAGTGTTTTTTGAAAACTCTGAGTGATTCTGATGTGCAGCCAAGGCAGAAAACCACTACTCTAGATTAGTTAGAAGCTTCTTCTGGTCACGTTCGATGACACTTAGATCTGAGATTGTCAGATCCTTTCTGTAGAGTAGGATTGTGTACAGCAGGGAGATAGTAGGAGTCCATTTAAGTCTTGATTATTGACCATTTTATTTCCCTTCTCTGTTCCTTTATTCCCCCCTCTCTCTCTCTCTCTCTCTCTCTCTCTTTTAAGTGTTTTATTTATTTATTCATGAGAGACACACAGAGAGAGGCAGAGATACAGGCAGAGGGAGAAGCAGGCTCACTGTGGGGAGCCCAATGTGGGACTTGATCCCAGGACCCCGGGATCACGCCCCAAGCCGAAGGCAGACGCTCAACCATTGAGCCACCTAGGTCCCCTCTCTCTTTCAACAAATATCAGTTAAGGGCCTGCAAGATACAAGGGATGACATCAGTCTGGTTGAGGCAGAAAGGAAGGAGCAGGGAGGAAGACTGGAAAAGTAGATTGGGACTAAGACTTGGAACGTGCTTGTTTTTACTAAACTCAATATTGAGGGTGCTTGTTTTTGCTAAAAGTATATAATTCAAGATTCATACCTAATCTGATACATTGGCTCCTTCTTTGCCATCTTTGGCATATACGATAGCTCTCAGGTATTTGGTAACTTTTCTCACCAACCAACCACTCTGGAAAAAAAGATCAACACCCACCAGTGCTATTTTCTCAAAATCTTTGAACCCCTTTTTTACTTCAAGAGAAACAAATTATGTTCTCATCTTTGAGAACAGTCCTGATTTTAAATATGCTATTCCATTGTTCCTGTCAGTACATATGAATTTGTGAGCCCATGTACCCTGGTGTTTGGTTCTGGAAAACTGATCACTACATTCAGATGATCTGTTAACTTCTTGCTTCTTTCATCTCTCTTGAAAATATGCTTATTGTTTCTTATGTATGGACGTTGTTATGGTGCCATGCAGGTGGCTGAGCTGGGAGGGGATGGAATGTTACAGTATACAAACTTTGTTAAAGTTTGTTCCTTGGAACTGGGTTTTTACAGTGCCATATAGCATACTAAAGCTCTTACGCTCCACTGGCTTGGTCCGCACTGCCTGTACCATGCAGCCCGAGTGTAGCCTCTATGAACAGATGTTCCACTCTTAGCTGTGTGAGCTTAGGCAAGGTATTCAACATTTCAGCAGTTCTCTTTTCTTTTCTTTTTTTCTCTTGTAAAAGATTTTATTTATTTATTCATGAGACACACACACACACACAGAGAGAGAGAGGCAGAGACACAGGCAGAGGGAGAAGCAGGCTCCATGCTGGGAGCCCGACATGGGACTAGATCCCCGGTCTCGAGGATCCCACCCTGGGCTGAAGGCGGCGCTAAACCCCTGTGCCACCGGGCTGCCCCTCAGCAGTTTTCTTAACTGTAAAATGGGATTCCAATATTACTACTACTGATGCTGCTCTGAAGGTCAATAAGATACAGGTGAGAAGGGAGATGATTGCACAGAAAACCCTCGGTCCATTATCACAATGTCCAGCTCATACTGGATGCATAATAGATGCTCACTAACTGAATAAATCTCCCCATGGTATTCATGCTTTTTAGTCTTGGGCTCAAAGATTATACTTCTAAAGGGCAGAGACCATTTTTTACAGATCTTCTATGGGTTGTCTCTTCCTGCACAGTGCTGGGCATATAAAAGGTGTTCAATAAATATGCAGTGGGGGCAATGTTGTGGATGGCAAAAAGTCTAACTTGAATTCTGGTCTTAGCTGTTCCATTACAGAAATGATTTAATATCACTGGGTCTCAGTTTCTTTGGTAAAAATAGGGTGTTAGCCCCAATATTTATAGCAGCAATGTCCACAATAGCCAATCTATGGGAAGAGCTGAGATGTCCATCAACAGATGAATGGATAAAGATGTAGTACATATATACAATGGAATATTACTCAGCCATCAGAAAGGATGAAATCATACCATTTACATCAACATAGATGAAACTGGAAGGTATTACACTAAGTGAAATAAGTCAATCACAGAAAGACAATTATCATATGGCTTCACTCATATGAGGAATATAAAAAATAGCATAGAAGATCATAGGGGAAGGGAGAGAAAACTGAATGGGAAGAAATCAGAGGAAGACAAACCATGAGAGCCTCTTAACTATGGGAAACAAACTGGAGTTGCTGGAGGGGAGGCAGGTGGGGGATGAGGTAACTGGATGACGGGCATTAAGGAGGGCATGTATGTGATGAGCACTGGGTATTATGTGCAACTGATGAATTACTGAACTCTACATCTGAAACTAATGATGTTCTATGTGTTGGCTAATCGAATTTAAATTAAAAAAAGAAAAAAAATGGAGTGTTAGGCATTGAGTACATGGTCTGGAGCAGATGCCATGTGCTTAATCAGAATATGATCCACAGGAGATTTTCAATCAAATGTAACAAAACAAACATAAAAGTTAGACAAGCAAACAAAATGGTTTTCCTGAACTACCTGGCTTTCGTGAGCTAGTTGGCACACAGAGTCCAACATTACCATGGTGTGCCCGGATGGCCTGGGTACAGGTACAGGTGGGTGCTGGCTGTTCAAGTCTAATTCCAAAAAAAGCCAATGAAAAAGTCACAAAGCCAGGGCCCTGTGAAGGAGTGCTGCTAAAGTAAAACATGCGTGATCAAAGCTTATGAGTTGTATTTTTAAAATCACAATTTACCACCATGTTCAACAAAAATTACTGGGAACCATATGCCCCACAGAATTTTCTGATCTTGTGGACCATCACAGACAACACTGGTATAGGAGCAATCTGCTCCAGCACAGAAGAGCATTTTATCACTGATGTCGTTTAGAATTGCTGGTGCCTGGGGATGATAAAAACTTTCAGGTGGGCCTTAATTCATTTTTAAATTCTCTTTAGACACTGAACCTCCTTGCATCAGGGGTCAGCCTCTCCCTGCCCCTGGTTCACAAAGGTTTACAAATATTTGGTTGTCCTTGGACTCGATTTCTCTGGCTTCTTACAACCTGAACATCATTCTCATCTCAGCACAAACATCATTCTCTTTGAGAGGCTTCCAGTAGCCCTGCCCTACTGATCTTCACAGCCACTCTCCTGTATTTTTTTAAAATTTTTAAATTTATTTATGATAGAGAGAGAGAGAGAGAGAGAGAGAGAGAGAGGCAGAGACATAGGCAGAGGGAGAAGCAGGCTCCATGCACCACGAGCCCGACGTGGGACTCGATTCCGGGTCTCCAGGATCGCGCCCTGGGCCAAAGGCAGGCGCCAAACTGCTGTGCCACCCAGGGATCCCTGTCCTGTATTTTAAAACCAACTCCACTGAGGTTTAATTGATATGCGGAAAAATGGCATTGGGTGATTTGATGAGTTTTATTATATGGATCCACCCATGAAATAACCACCACGACCAAGAAACAGATATTTCCATCACT